GTATCCTCCCGACAAGTATTTCAGTGCGGACCTGTATTTGATCGTGAGGTCCCCTGTGAGGTCTTAAGTCACCTGATTCACGAGCCCGTTGTACTACATTAACAAAGGTACGAGGGGTTGGTTGCACTCGATTGGGAAACCGATCCGCATAAACATGTGCCATTTTTTATTTCGTTTGAGCCACACAACAGATACCACTATTCACTGACACTGACTGTATACAAATGAATGAAATAATTGTAAAAACATCGTTCCAAATTCTTTCGCTTTTTTGTTTCCGATGCGATGAACCGATACGGCGGATTATATCCGTTGTCGCCAAACACGAGCACATTGAGACAGGGCGGTACTCAAACTTCAAAAGGGCTATAACTTTGTTACTTTAATTTTACCAGAAAAATGGTAAAGGAAAAAACATTTCTTTTGATCAGATCTACTCACTGTTAAAATAAATGACTCAACTTCGAAGTCACCCTCTATAAGGAATGAAAAAGCTGAGGATGCACTACCTTGAAAAAGTATCTGCCTCCATTGTGCTGTGTCGAGTTCCCCAACCAATAAAGAGTAAGTCCGAAACTGCACGCATGCGCTGATCGCGCGCTAGCTCACTCTCTTACTCCCCTACAGAGGATCTATAAAAGAATTTGTCAATCTTGATGGTTCTGATAAGAATAATGAAAAACCGTTATCAAATTATTACATTGTCATCGGTTCTTGATACGTGTGCGGAGTGAGTTTCAGATAATCAGACTTCTGAAAATTGGTGAAATTTATGTTCAAAGATTCCTTTACATACATACATACTTACATATCTGCCAAGCTTATCAAAGCATGTTAAAAAGAGAATGAAAAGTGAAATGATGATGAGTTACGATTTATATGGAAGTACAATGAATCCAAACAACGGATTCACAAGATCAGGTGAAAGTCCACTATTACAAAATCTAATACCATACAACGATATTTGAATTTATTGTTCCCAAAAGCAAAAATGATCAACTTCAATGGTCAAAATAAAAATTATATATGTCTAAGCAGCAAGACCTGTTAGAAAACATACAGACGAGAGCTACACGCATCGCATAGTGTATCCAACGACCTTGCTACGAAGAGAGGCTAAACATATTCAATTTAACTGACTTCTCCGATAGACGCTTACGTGGTGACTTGATAATCACTTACAGAGCTTTGTATGGTATCCTCGGTACTTACATATCCTCACTTTTCCGTATGATCACCATCCACCTTCGAGGCTACAACTGATGAAAGAGACGTTTCGAACTACACCTCCCAAGTTTTTCTTCTTTAACCGAGTATTTGATACCTGTAACAGGCTGCCCTACGACGTTGTTAGTACGTGCTCAGTTAACAGGTTCAAGAATTGCAAAGCAGTGAATAACAAAACGTATACATCAATATGCAACCAATACTTATGTTCGACAGAATGAAAATCTTCACATATAAATCATATACAAGTTTAATAGTGAAAAAAGTGTTAGGCCTACGAAAACCTGTACTGAAATTGTATCAAAAAAAGCAACTATTTTTTTGTCAGGACTTGCACCTTCCTACTCGTTCGTGGATCTGGAAGGTTCGAGGATTTTACAGAGCTTCGGAGGTCTCCTGAAGGTTGACATATTGTATAGGGATGTAATAATGAAAAGAAGCGCAACTGACCTGCTAACTGGAACACAGATAAATATATTGTCAGTGTACTGAAGGAGATCACATTTGTGATTGAAGCGTGTACAGTAAAGAAGGTTCTATCAATACATATGGTTTTATTCGTCAGACAAGCATGGGAGTTACGAAAATGGTGGGCCCATGTCAATTGGGTTGCCACAGTGACAAACATAGACTAAGAATACTCACTTTGGGGAGAAAAGTGGCGAGATGAAGCTGAAGAACGTATGACTGAGCTTACACACGCTCTCACACAGAGGCAAACTGTATGAGAAAGATGGTTAAAGAAAAGTAGTTGAACTGTAACCTTCCAAAAAGCGTTAAATGAATTATGCCATGTCATCATCACATACCTGAGGGCTAATTCCAATTGATTGATTTTGACATTGGCTTGGCAATGTTGATATAGAAATCAATGGATGTATTTCATCTGTCAGTTAGAATCGGATCCCTGGTCATTCATTTGAAGCTTTCCTACGCACCAGAAATCTTGACATTATCCCACAAGCATTTATTGCTTAGATTTGTTTGTTGTTTGTATATTTGATTAGGTGCCTGGCATCCTAATCAGATATACATTCACGACCTAGCTCATTGGCTGTAGAATACGGTATCCCCGGAACAATATCGCGTAGAGCCCTGACTGGAATTCAACCGCGCGTAGGTATCTCTAGGCGGAGGAGATACGAGGCTACAAAGCTCGGCATCAGAGCCTCTATGAAGCAGATTAGCCTATCTCCTTCAGATGGAGACTGTAATGCAAAACCGTATTCTCGTATCATTGATCTTTTTCACGAGAAGATCCAATTTTTAATGAAGTCTGTGCATTACATTCCCTTGGCGGGTGTGACAAAGCGTCGACCTAAATCGAAAACTTAACAAAATTGATTAAGTAATACCTTCATCGGTATTTTACAAACACCATTGTTTATCGAAATAAGACAGCGCTAAGCGCCTTCTGCCACCACAATCACCACGTGACCGCAAAATGGCGACGATTCTAGCTATGTAATAGATGTGACTTACTTGCCATTAAACAAAATAAATATGGTCTGCTTTGGCCATGGACAGATATTGGGTGCTTTTTGGCTACTTCTCAGCATGGCCTAGGCTGGGGTTTCGGTAGGCTGCGATTCACTATGCGCAGTGATTGATTATAGTGCGCGCTGTCTTATTTCCATATATATCTCACATTTGTATAGTGTAAAGTTGCTAAGCTTTCTTTCGTCGTTCGAGAGATTCTAGTCCAGAACAGCCTGAAGAGTAGCGAAATAGCACAAAATAGCTGTCAGTAGTTGACTGTTTTTGGTCAAACGGAGGAAAGCAGGAAATTTTTGCTTAGCATTATTTTAAAGACAGAATACAGACCTGCACTTTCTTATCCTTAAGCCTATTCACAGTTGTGCAATAAGTCATTGTTCTTAGCGAGTAACCTCAACGTACCCAGATATGTTCTGCTGATACATAAAAAAACATTTTTCAGCATTACATAAATGAGTAGGTACCGCATATGCGCGTTGAGATCGTGATAACGTTCAGAGATTATAACGACCTTACGAAAAAAATGGACAGATTACGATATGTCACAAGCACTCAGGTGTATGAGAAACTTTTTATCTGATGGACACATTATGCACTGTCTCCTTCGTTCTTATTTAAAGCGGTTTTTCATATAAAACTGAGGCAGTTTTCATTTTTGGAACGCTGCCTTAATTTGACCCCAAACTAGCGAATAACATATTATGCTACCTTGGGCTGCATGTTGTCAGTTATCAATCATTTTTCTAGTTCCGTCATCCATTCTCGTGCTGCGATGATCAATTGTTGAACAGAAGAGAAAACCACAAGAAAAATATAGTTTTTAATAACTCTTAAAGTATACAAGAATCTAAGTTGGCAGCTGGCTAAAGCTAATGTTAGTAGAAATATTATTTTATACGATAGTTGCTACAAGTGCAAAACTATGCAACAATATAGTTCCGAGGACGATACAAATAGTAGGCCCTGGATTACGCTCAAGCTAATTTTTTAGCGTAACGGCAGTCTTTCTGAACATTCGCCAAGCAGACCGAGGAAATATTGTCTAAAAGTTGTCTTCGATCACTGATATGCGAAGATGCAACGATTTTCACTATTTCGGGACCAAGATCTCCGCGGTAAGCTCCATCGTCGATGCCCTTGACAATGCTCTAAGTGCTGTCGATCCAAGCTTGTTGGGCACTGAAACCGAAAGAAGTTACAACTTCGAATGAAAGCGTCGTTCATTATCTAACCGCTTTTTTGTTGTTTTTTTGATTCTCACCTAGGTTAGTCAGTGGTTTGATAATCATGACATCAAGTGTTTGCTTTGTTATAAGAATAAAAATGTCATAACTATCAATAATAAATATATTAACTATATGAGAATATGCAAAGATGTTTTGGAATTTTATTTTCTAGTAGTTTAATGTACTTACTTTCGAGCTATAACAAATAAATTGTATTGGATTATTTGAGAACAATATACAAAGGCGTATAATGAATATGCCAAGAATTTAGACACCAAATCATTGATCAAAGATGAAATTGGAACAACCTTGTTACTGTTATGTGTTGGAAATTGCCAGAAGTACTTCACTGCACTTACGTAAGTCGAATTAAAGTGTTGTTATATAATTTGAACAGAATTTGTAGGTGTACTAAACCTACTACAAATTCAATTCCTGGCCAATCCTGCTACTGCAAGACATATAAAAGTTTATGTTACACTTTTTTCGCGACAAAAAGTATTATAATATAGCATACCAAAAAGGATAGTGACATTACCTTATTTTTTTATATTTTTTCTTCGGTATTGACTTATTTGTAGCTATTTATAAAAAAATACCATGTAAACATCTAACAACAAAATATGCCTTTTAGTGGGTTGTTATAAAATATTTTGGAGACAAATAATGTTCAATTTTTCAAAGCAATTTTGGGAAAATTTGCTAAGAGATTCAAACCCGGCTAGATACCGAAACAATCAAAACGCTCCCTACAGAAACAGCAAAAGAATATATTGAGCTGTTTTTATGCTATCACTTTGCATAGCCGTTAGCTTTCTGAGGAGGCTTAGGAAGTTTGTCCGAGAGCACAGAACTAGAAGTCATACATAATACTTATATTCGCAGGAATTGTACCCAAGAGGGCAACCATCTATGTATAAGAGGCAACTTTATGTGAAAGCCTCCAAAAGCTTTCAACGAGTAGGGGGTAGCAAGCTTTCTTGGGGATAGGATGGCTAAGTCCTGAAAATCCTCAAAACAATGCTACCATGAAAATATTGAAGGAACAACATGATTCCTAGGGGCCACCACAATCCTCCTACCACGCCCCCTCCTCACTCCGCGTGCTCACATCTTACAAATATTTTTTGGGCAAATCACTCCAAAAAAGTACCGAAGATCGAACCTATAGTGACGGTAACATACCTAATTTAGTCCTTAACCGCAGACATCCGGTCAAAATGACCGGCTGCAAATTTCAACTGCTGAAATTCATCGCATCCCCTCCACTACCGCTTATGAGTTTCTACGTACATACATACCTTCGTAACACTTAGTTTGATGCTATTAGCCGGTGGATGGAGACTGTATTACTTGAAGCAAGCGAAATATCGTAGTTCAAAGTTCGCAACCGGTAAAAAAGACCTTTAGGTCTTTATTAACGAAATAATTTGGATATGTTGAATCATTATTTTTCTGATGTTTTTAGCCTTATAAATTGAGTATGGATTCTAATCCTGCGCCCTCAAAGAGAGTAAAATATGGACATGCTGATTTTGAAGCTACTTTACTGGTCCATTCTGGTGGAAGCGATATCGAATCAGATGGTGACTATATACCATCGGATCATGACACTAAGTCGGAGGTTGATTTCGACGAAGAGGACAATGAATATCTAGGTGAAATTGAAAATCCAGAAAATGTTCCCAGTGGCAACTACGTTTATGGTAAGAATCGCTTTAAATGGTGCAAGGATTCTCCAGTTCCCAAGAATACACGCACGTTACAACACAACATTGTTGTTAAATGCCCGGAACATAAAAGAAATGACATCTACAGCGCTGATGCTGAGCAAGTATGGAGTCTTTTATTCAATGAGCAAATTCTGAATGTCATTCTTCAATCCACCAATGCAAGATTGATGAAAATTCGTCAAAAATACAAAAATGCAGTAAAAAACTTCGATATTCGTGATTTGGATCTTATGGAACTGAAAGCTTTTCTACGAGTGCTAACTTCTACGTCAATTTTTAAATCCAACCATGAGGACGTAAAATCCCTTTTCGCCACAGATGGCTCTGGACGAGAAATTTTCCGATGCGTGATGAATGTGAACCGATTGTCAATAATTCTTTTTTGTCTGAGATTCGATGATGCCGAAACTAGGAAAGAGCGTAGAAATCAAGATCAATTAGCAGCTATTTCCGAAATATTTAATAACTTTGTAATAAATTGCCAAAAGGCTTACACTATAGGAACATGTGCTTGTATCGACGAAATGCTCGTTGCATTTCGCAGTCGATGCAAGTTTAAAATGTTCATGCCAGCCAAACCCTGCAAGTATGGTCTAAAAGTTATGTGTCTAACGGTTGCCAGAACTGGATACCTCTTGAATGCTTATATATATTCTGGAAAGAATTCGGATGGCTATCTGTTAACAGATGAGGAACGAAAATTCTCGAAACCCACTCAGGCGGTACTCAGACTTGCCAAATCTATTTATAACACAAACAGAAATATTACAGCCGATAACTTGTTTTCCTCAAAAGAGCTGGTAAATTTCTGAAAACTAAAAATCTAACTTTTGTCGGAACAAAAAAATAAAGGTGAGATTCCTCCTACATTTTTGACAAATACAAAAAGAGAGATGTTATCTTTTGTACCTAAAAAAAATACAGCATCTCTTCCATGCACCACAATAAAAATACCGATGTTGAGACTGAGAATCCAGAAATTTTCTGTTTTTACAACACTATTAAAGGTGGAGTGGATAGCCTGCACCAAAAGTGCAGACTTTATTACTCAGGTCGTAGAACTCGCCGATGGCCCATGATCATTTTTTTCAGATTGGTAGATATAGCGTCTGTAAATTCATATATTCTACATCAGTCATAAAGAGATAATTCAGAAATCAAAATGTGCGTATTGGTCGTGAAATGAAAACATCTATAAGGAAGCATACTACAATTTTAACAAGAAGAACATCCGACGGAAGGTGATAAACTGAATACAAGAACGACTTGCAGACGTTGTCCCTCGAAGATGGAGAGAAAAACATTCCTTGTTTGTATAATTTGTAAATATGCATGGAATGTACTAGGAGAATTTGCAAACAATGTTCCATATAAATATGCTAATAGCTTACTCTTTGCAGATATTTTTATATAGAATGTTTTTAGTTTTGCTTTGTTGCAAGTTTATTTAGAATAACTTATTTCAATTATTTATGTGCGAAAGAGTGCTGTTTATTTATGACTCTGTTACAATTGATCAAAAAAATAGCAATAAAATATTTTTTTTCATACTCTACTCTTATTTCATTCAAATATAGTTAAAACTAGATCAAATGCTAATTAGAAAGATCTAAGAGTTAATCCGGATGCTGTAAAAAAAATAAACATTTTGTTGTTCATGTATAGTCAAAAAAAGACAACCGGTCAAAATGACCGGTAGTCTGTGGTTAAGTCCTACAAACGTGACCTCTGTAGCTAAGGGTTAAGTGAAATTTAAGTGATTGTGATTTAAATATAACAATCACATAGTATATCCAATCAATTTTGGGGTGGCTGTGTATGAAATTATTTACCCTCGATCAACATATCAAACGGACAACTGTTACCACAGGACACATGGTGGTTTCAGCACGTCAAAATTACTGTTTAATTAAATATAGCATTAATATGTAATACATATACATGTACTCGTATCAGTTAGCAGAGCTTTGAATAAACGATCTCGTTAGAAGTTTCATTTTAAAATATTAATTACATGTTGGTTCATTTATTTTACGGATGTGTGCTGTATGGGTGTTTAACGAGCTTGCATGTGGAAAACTTGCATATGGAATTTCGTAATCATAGAGACACCGGAGCGGCAGGTATTTGTTTTATTTTTTTTTGATCTTATATGGCAACTATATCACGAAAAACCATATCACTTATTTCCTCCGGCCTGTCTGTCTGGATGAAATGGATGAAAAAGTATAAGCGTTCATTATTGAAAGACCATGTTGCATGTCAATATTTATTGCACCAAATTTCTATCAAGATTGTAATCAAGATGACTGGTGTAGTCCAGTAATCTTGCCAGGTGGTCGATAGTTTGGATAGGGCAGAGGAAAATCTCGAGCATAATCAAATTATGGGCTTTATTGTATGAGCCTGTCTGGTTGACTTGATCCATTCAATTTTTTTGTTGTACATGTTCTTAGCTAACTCTTAAAATAATTTCGTCATTTAGAAAATGAAGACAGCGTTGCGTGGGAAGTGGAGAGTCAACCTGCCGGATGCTATTTTTTACATCAGTCAGAAAGAGCTCAGCCTCAGGCAAGGACAGTGTAATTAGACCAGCAGCATTACAGACACGTAAATGGTATTTTTTACAAGATGTTGTCTGTATCGAATAATCTACCAGAAGAGGCTATCCACGGTTTTGCTGACTCAAGACCACCAATGACATCTTTTGGTGTGCATCATTATATCTGAAGCAACGAGTTCGGACCCGGTAAAAGGAGCCAGTCAAGGATACGTTTTTCTCCTAGTGCTCTTAGTGAGATAAGTTAATTTTATGACAGTTTTGTTATTAAATTCGTATATTTCGTGTTATTTTTAAAAACGTAGATGTTTCCACCGGTAGGTGTTGATACAACGGTGTCACTTTGGTAGATAAATGAGTCGAAAGTATAGATTAAAATTAAGCAGATTCGAATACAAACAATGCAATGTAAATACAGAGGCTTGGCTCCTTTTACCCTATTCGAATTTGTTGATCTAAAGGGATTATTACTTCCAATATGACCACTTCATAATTAGCTAAACAGCAGAAACCTCTTTCAGCTTCGCAGACTGTGATTCTAATCTGAACAAATAAAAGAAGGGAGTCTGAATAAAGCTGAGGTCCGCTATGAAATTCAAACGCTAATATGAGCATTTCTATGCGAACGTATAGTAAAACAGAACTGCTACGAGTAATTTTTGAGATAAAATACAATACTGACTAGCATACAATGTGGATGAATTCATTTATTTGAGAACAAATAGACCTGTGTATGTGGGTACACATCTACATAGAGCATGTACCCAAGCGAGGGATATAGCTATATGGAACAATAGCGCTCTAAAAGGCAACGGTTTAATATTTAACATATGCAAATTGATGGAATATATGTATGTGGCTGGCTTTACCAGATCCCTAGAGGGTGGCAAATTAATAATGATATATTATTTCAGCCTGCTCAGAAGGTGTTGGGGTGTTTTGTGATATCGTATGTTTCGTATTACATCACATTATTAAATTAATGAAAATGAGTGATTTACAATAAATGGCCGAGTCACCGGCATCCGTAGAATGTTTGGTATTAGTGTAGATAATTATTATACACTATTATGCTGAATTGGTGAATGCTTTTTACTAACCCCTAAGCAGTTTACTTAATAAATTTGGAGAACTGTTGTGGCATTTAACAAACTAGTGTCATAAAAAGTGAATAATAAGTCCGTATCCCCTATCCTTATTTATCGACAGTCAGTTGAAATAGCTTTCGACACATAAGAGTCCGGATACACATCTTTAGTCAGAAGAAGTAACTACCAGTCTGTTCTTCAACTTACCTTGGTATCCATATGAAATGTTGAATGTCCACATATAAAGTGCTGTCATCTGATAACTGTGGATCGATTGGCAGAAATTTGTTTACTTGCTTACTTCACACAGCAACTCTCTGGAATCCTTGACTCTGGCGGTCAAGTAGATTTAATATATGTTTACAGACTTCTCAGAAGCCTTGATTGGACCATCGTATCTTAACCACTTGACTTGATTATTTTGGCTCAATACCACTTTTCACTTCATATTTAGGAAATAGGTTATAACTTGTACCTTATAATGGGGTTGGGTATAACAGTTATATAGCAACATCAGGCATTCCGCAAGGATCAAATCTTGACCCACTGTTATTTACAGTTTTCATTAATGACACAAATTAATTACTTATTAAATTCGAGTAGATTATTATATGCCTCAATATTTATTCTGTTATCAATACTTACTCTGTCTGTGTTTTGTTTCAAGCTACATTGGATAATAACGTATGGTGCAAGAACAACCAGCTTTTTTAAAATGTGGCAAATTGTAAGATGATGACATTTTCTAAACAAGGTGCGCTTTTTTTGTTACAGCATCCAAGAAGCAAAATAAAATCATCAATACAGTGTCGTGGACTTGGGAGTTTTGTTTGATCCGGAAATAAACTTGGTTGTGACAAATTGTATAAAACTCAATAACATCTTGGCTTTGAAGTGTTTTTTTTTTCGTATGTGAGATCAAAGAAGACTGTTCTATAATATGGCTTCCTTATCAGGGATGTCATGTTGGAAGGTTGGAGAATGTTGAAAGAAAGCTTTTGAAAAATATTTAAAATATATCATGTGTACCTGGAACAAGGTATTTAGTATCAATTGTTATTAAATCGTTTTGTTATGGCACGCTTACAACTGAGGTGTGAGTTGTGCTCTCTATCATTTTGTGTAATCTATGATACAACATAATTGATTGTTCTGAATTCTTAGGTAAGGACAGTTCCAACGTTTTCCATTTAAGCCATGAAACAGTGTTATTTTTTGCTGCGATGAAGTATTTGAGAGAAATCACAAGTTTTACGCTTTGAGATATACATCAAACTACAAAAGATCTACCTACCTATCCTTATCCTTCATGAGCAGCAAGATGGCTTAGGGAACTTTATATCTGCGCAAAATATAATGGGGAATGCTGAAATAAGCAGTTTTCTGGACAAAAAAACCCGAGCATAAAATCCCTCTTCAATTTGCAAGTCATCCGTGAATCAGATCTCGGCTGAAACTCCTGTCTTATTTGATGCTCTATTGCTGACGCATCCAAAAAATATCCCCCATATGAGGTGAATGAAGTCTATCTTTTGGAAGTTCAATAGGACAGCAGAATGCCTTTTCATGCAGAAAACCATACCTGCTCTTTGAACACCCTGTACATCCAACCGCAAAATCATATCAAAACGGATAAAGAAAACAGAAGTAGGGGAGAAATATCGTCAAAAGGCACTCTTAAAATTCCTCGAGGATGGCTGGAGTCTACCCTTAATTAAAGATTAAAGAAAATATATATTGCCGCGGAGCAGGGCGGTTTTTGTACAACCAACGGCAACCCAAGCAGTTAAAATGTAAATGTAATAATAAGGAGCTAGTTCTAGGTGGCGTTTTGAGTTATATCACCAATTATGGCGAGCAGAAATTGCGCCTGCCCCCATTCCTCTAAGACGTCTACGTCTATTGGGCACGATAAATCCGAAAAAAATCTTTCAGATGAAAAGGATGCGGGATTTGTTTCGCATGGCGCAAATTTGTTGCGCCAGCAGATGGAAGATCATGCCGCCTTTAATATTCATGCAAATGTGCACCTTATATCCTTATAGAATATTTGTCGTAACACACCGGTTAATTGTTACGTAAACTTCGACTAACGTGTTGCAGTTGGATGACGTGTCTCGTGCATTAGAAATCGACAGATAGCCATGTCTTTTTGTTTTGGGGGGCTAGACGTCCCCCAATCCCTGGACTATGCTGGTGCCATCTTAAACTCTCGGCATGTTAGGGACTTTTCAGACCTTTGCAGTAAATCACTGGGTAGGAATCTGGAAATAAAAAGAGAAAACAAACGAAGTGTCACCTGGAAGGCAGATACATGTGTGTACAATATTGTCTTGTACAAAGTGTCTTGTGCTGAAGAACGTCACCGTTGTGACCAGTGATGGGCGCATTGTATACACCGTGTATACGCGTATACAATAGTGAATATATACGTCTCGCTATACAATGTATAGAATGTAAATAATGTATTATTCAATAGCAAATCATAGTTCAGCTACTTGCATATAGTACTGGCAAAAGTCCCTATCCCTTTTATATTTCCATGTGTAACGAGGAAGGGAGAGACGGGGACAAGCGAGCACCAGTTGTGTAGAAAGAGTGCTCCCACACACCACGTTGCCTGGTACAACAGTGATGAAGACCGCAAAACACAACTGTAACTTGCTGCAAGGCCTTGTTTTCTACCCTGAAATACACATTTCTGTCGAATCTGTTTGGGGTCAATCCCTGATTGATCCTAATGGTTCTCCGATTTTAGACGAAACTGAATGTTCAGGATAGATACAAATTGTGCAACATTGCATTATTGGTTTGACTATGGAAGCAGTTTTTAAGTGATGAAAAAATGTATAATATTTATTTATATACAAATATACAGTTTTGTAATTAAGAACAACAAATGACGCCTAGTTCATCGATTTCTTTGTTCTTTGAGCGTCCAACCATATTATTTTTAAGTTGTCGGTTTACTGTTTACCAACTTTCTGAGGTTTGCGAATAAACCTAACCTCACTTATGCTATTCTATACGCAATGTATACATTGTATTCATTGTATACGCATTGTATACATCGAGACGTAGACAATTAATGAATACGCGTAAATGCCCATCACTGGTTGTTACCGAAATGTATACATTCAAGAAAAATTTCAGAAACATGTAGTTTCATTGGCCAGACAAACAGAAGGGATTATGTACCACGGTTTTTTGTTTAAATTAAAGCTGATGTTAATATGTATTGTATTAACTAACTGGTATGCAGATAACAGAGACAGCTAGCACATGTAACGATTTGTAATTTTTTTGAGCACGCCACGCAAACAAGTACACTCCCCAAAAATTTGCACACAATCGCTGCGGGAAAACGACTGAGATTCATATTTATGCTTACAAAAAGTGCCAATCTAATATTAAATACCTTTTGATAAAAAATTGAGGATTGTCAAGGAAGTGTATCTAAGATCATTATTTATTAATGTTCAAATACATATGTATACGTTAGATGCAATGACTTTTTCAGTCGACATTCATCTTTTTTGTAAATGCTTTAGGCATAAAGAATGGAATATTTACGATATATTAAGAACTCGATTTCAAAATAAGCCATCACTCAAATATGCATAATTATACCTCTTACACTATATAATATACACATATAAACATAAGCCTCAAGGTTTTCTTAAAAACATTATGGGAAGAAAATTGATATAAACTTGAAGCAAATTGGGAAATTAGGTCTGATCTCTAAGAAAGATTTGTATCAAATCTAATCTAGTGTTCAATGATTCTTGTAAATTAACAAGGTTATCAGGTATTCTGATCTGAATAATAAATGAATAATTGATGATCCACAATATGCAATAGACAGGGTGATTCACAAGTCTTGACCAAAAATTAAACATTATACACAGAACCGCATTTTAAGGAAGGTCTTCTGTGTAACATTTTTTCCTCAAGGGTTTCATGAAAAAGTTTTTCTTAATATCCCCAGTACCGTCAACTCGAATGTATTAAAATTTGTTATGTGGATTAACCTAACTGTTGTCCACATTCGAAAGTCTTTACTTAAAATTAACGTGCACCTGTGGCGGAGATACAGGTGATTAGTGATATTATTCCTCAAAATAAAAATAGTATGGTAGTTTTTTTTTTAATTTTTACCTTCAATTTGCTACAAATATATACTCACTCTTGTGTTGTTTGCCTAGTGTGCAATGTTTTCGTAAATGTAAAAATAAAACAAATTTGATCATTCATGGACTCATCCCCATTCTATTCACCCCTATTTCAATTACCTTGTGGCTTTCTTCGTAATACCCAGCCAACTTTTGCCACCGAATCTGGCAGGTTCCAGCTTTTTCGTCTCAGAATTAATTTCAACTTCTTCGTGTGCAGCAGCCTCCTTGCTTATGTCATTTTTGTCCACACCTCCAGCAGGTAAGCTGGATGTTCATACTGCTCAATGGAACGCAACTTTCTTCCCATTTCTGTGGCCATAGTTGCAGCTTCCATGTCGGGCGCCTTAGCATAATGTGGGAAAGCATTTATTTCTCCACATTTAAAAAAAATAATAGAGAAAAAAGGAGCATCGTGGATTCGAACCTCCGTCATCAACCCTTCACGACAAATGGCAAGCGAACGATGGAGGCGTATCAAATTTGTTATAACCAATTACAGTACTCTTGAAAACTATACAAGATACAATGCTGAATCTTTGAAAAATGTATTAGAGACTAATAACGAGCATTTTGCCAAATTTTTAAGATGGACAGTTCGCTACAATTGCTTGATATTTGTCTACTGTTTTAATCGAACAAGATTTCGAAGACAGACGTATACTATATTAATAGTTTAAAATAAAGTCTAGGGAACTATATTTCTTCGTAAAGAAACTG